AAAGAAAGAAAGAAAGAAAGAAAGAAAGAAAGAAAGAAAGAAAGAAAGAAAGAAAATTACATAAGACAATCACGTCACCCTTCTGTTTAAAATCCCTGGTAGCTCCCCACATCACCAGTGGATGGTCTGGAGTCTTAACAGAGTTCCATGAGGACCTGTTGCCCCCTCAGAACTTGCCTTGCCCCCCTTTCTTGCCCGCTCTGCTTCAGCCCCACTGGCCTTCTTGCGACTCTTTGAGCCCTTCACTTCTTGTAGACCCTCCATTCTTCCTCAGCCCCACCCCCAGGAGCTCTTCCTGGATTGCACAGGGCAGAAATGCCCTTCTGTCTCCAGTCATTCCCTTCTCTCATCTTGTTCTGTTCTTTCTTCAAAGCACTTATCCCTGCCTGACATCCCATTATGTAACGGCTTTGTTTATTGCGCTTGGAACCTTCTATTGCCTAGGAATGGGCAGGCTGTCATGAAAACCACTCTGGGCTGTGTTTAGAGAAGAGGGAAGAGGCGATTCCTTAAACAGTTGCTGAAGCTGACAAAGCAGAAGCACACCCCGAGGCCCAGCATATGGCTCTAAGGACCAAATAACAGTCATATTTATTGCAGGGTAAGATCCATATGGCAGGATTTGTGCCCATCACTCATTTGTAGCGTAGGCTGATGAGAGTGAGGTCTGCAAGTGTGTGTGGTGCCTGAGGCGGGAACCATTTCCCTTTGCCTGCTATACTCAGCTGGGGATTTCTGTAATAGTGAGGTGACCAGGTACCACCACCCTCAAATTTTGGTCCATCTAAGGAGACTCCGACTTGTTGCTGGACTTGGCTGATGCTGGACTGAGGGCTGGCGGATGTTCAGAAACAGTTTCTGCTGGGCAGAGCTGGGAGCTTGCCTTCCTGGAACCCCGGCTCCCCCATGTCCCAGGGCCTCCCACAGAGTGCCTAGAAGCCTGCAGCTGGGCCAGCAAGGATGTTCCTCAGGAGAGACCTGAGCTGCCCTCAGAGAGACAGTAGTGGTAGGGTGGCCAAGAGCTTCCTCTACCGGCCCGGGGTTTGAAGGCTTTCAGGCATAAGTTGTAAGGAGCCTCAGGCCTTCCTACCCGTCCCAGGCTGGTGGTGCCCAGGATGGTCCTTGCCTGGGTGCTACAGTACCCTGTGGACGAGGCCTACTGGCTGGTGTTCTAGGCCTTCCTGGCACCAAGCCTCCCTTTTGCCTTGTTCCTAATCCTGCTCCCAGTCCCATCATCTAGACCCATCATCTAAGCCCACAGTTCTCCCTCCCTGCTGAGAGGATCGGCTCTCCCAACCTTCTGAGCTTCCCCCCACCTTGGGCTACACAGGTCCCTCTGTTCAACCTTTCTTTCGGTCTTTTTGTGTCCGTCTGAGCAGTGTTCCCTGAAAAGGTGGTAGAATCATGGAAAGCTCTAGTGTCTGCAAGCTGGGGGTTTGTAGTCCCCAAGAAGAGACCCCTGAGAGATGGCTGGCACTATGAAAGTTTGTGGAGTGTGTAGGTCCCTCTCTTATAGCAGCTCAAACCCACTAAGAATGGGCAGCAGGCCCTGACCCTCCTGCCCTTCTTAACCCCCCTTTCTCATGAAGCAGCCTTGTAAACCTGGAAAACAGTTGTTTTGGGGGGAGAGGGGACAAGAGGAGGGAGCCTGGACTCATTTCCTGACTCATGCTGCAGTGGGCTTTGAACCCATGCCCACAGTTGAGTCAAGAGCTTAAGGAGGTGGCTCTGTAGGGGCAGCGGAAGGGACCAGCCAACCCAAGATGGTTATTATGGTCTGTCCACACAGGGAGGAGGCCATCTCTCCCCGGCATACCCCATCTTCCACCACAGCTGATTCCTCTCTCCACAACAGGTTGAAATCAGCTATTCCCTTCCTACTCTGGGGATGAAGTGACAGCCTAGTGTCAGTCACATGAGTGTAGAAGACCAGAATTCAGGTCTTCTCACCCAGAGGCATGTCACCAGGCAGGGAACTATCTTCTCCTTGCCACAAGAGCTTTATTTAAGCCACTTCTTGTCCTGCCCTACGAGATTGTGCCCCACCCCACACTCCCTGAAAACGGCCATCTTCATGGCCTACCTCTTTTCTGTAGCTCTGGGTGTATAGGCCTGAGCCCTGTCAAGGCCACTACCTGATCTCTAGCCTATCCTGCCGTCCTGGCTCAGCTATCAGCCGGGTGTGCTGTGCTTCCGTGCTCTCTGGAATGGCGTTCACTTGCTGCACAGGAATGAGGGACGGTGACTTGGTGTCTTTTCCAATCATCTGGCAACAGTTATCGGGCCTCCCCTTTCTTCTACCCTAGAGCTGAGACCGGGGAGTAAAGGAATCCCAGAAGAGGTAGGAGGAGTCATGGAGTGAGGTACGCTACCCCAGCCTGGTGACTTTGGGGACATCCCTTAACAGCTCAGGCTCTTTCAAGATGGAGAAGGCCCTGTTGGTCCAAAGGCAGAGGCGCAGGCCAGCAGGTGTGAGGAGGACTTGTTTATTCAAGGCACAATCATACATTAATAACAAGAAGGTTCAGGATTCTGGCACATTCCTTTAATGGTAGTGGCCACGGTTGGTCCACACCCTTCCAGGGCCCCCAGAGGATGCAATGTTGCTGATAGGCACTTTGCTTCCAGAGGCAGCTTAGGGACAGGCAGGCAGGGTGAGGCTGCTCCAAGCCCAGTACGAGTCCCCTCTGGGAGACTCTGTGTCATTCTAGGTCTCCTGGGAGGTATCTCTCTCCAGAAGGGATCAAGGTAGATGGACCGGGTGTGGGCTAGGGTGGGATGATGAGCGGGGACAGCAGGTGCTGAGGAGGGCCTTTTGTAGTCTGCATGAAGGAGTTTGGCCTCTAGTGACCTTGCAAACTCCAGCTCCCGGAAGAGCAGAGTGGAATCCACCACTTGCCTGGCATTGGCATCAGAACCAGGCTGCATTTGACCCTGATTCAGAGGAGGAAAGCCCTCCAGACATCCAGCCCTGGTGTCAGTAGGACTCCTTATAACTGAAGCTTCCATGGCTTCCAGTGGGGCGGGGTGGGGGGTTAGAGGGAGAGCCAGCAGCAGCAGACAGAGCTGCAGGGATCTGGGGAAGGTGCCAACAAGCAGTGCCCAGAGAAAAGGCCCCAGTCCAGGCCTGGTTGCATTCCAAATCACTACATATCAAATGCACACCGTGGGGGGATGGACTGTTGCTCCCCACTTTGGGCAGACTTCGATGTTGGACCTGACCACTCTGCTATGAAGTTCTTTCCCTGGTTGATGAAATCCCAGGGCCAAGGACCTTGGGGTACTGAGGTGTATAAGGACCTGGCTGTAAATAATTCTCCTCTCATTCTAAGCTCAACAAAGAATGGAGACAGCCTCTTTCCCAGCTGAGTCAAGCTCTCAGCAAATATCACCATGCTAGGATTTGAGACCAAGAACTGCGGCCTGACATTGCCTGCCCCTTGAGCAACTGTGTCTGCCCTGGAGTGAAGCTTGGAACTGCTCTCGGGGCTAGGATCTGACAGAGGTGGAGCAGAGGCAGAGCCACGTGACCTGTTTTCAGGTCAGCCATGTGAAGAGATACTGAGACAGAATGAGTCTGGACCCACCTACAATGAATGGGCCGCAAGAAGGGACCAGATATCTGGGGAGGAGCTTCAGGAGCTCAGGAGTCTACAGGCACCTTGGTTCAGGTGGCTCAGGCTTCATAGCCATCCTGACAATGCCTTGTCCTAAGAGTCGGAAGCTGGAACACCTCAGAAGGGGGCAGAGGAGCTAAGTCACCAACATTGCAGCCATTTGCTCCTCAGAAGGGTCTTCTCCATGGAGAAGACATCCACCACTCCCTCTGTATGACCCTGGCAGGATTAGGGTAATGACACCACTGTGTGAAGCATCTATAACATCTCAGCCAGTACCACACTGGAGGCCAGGCAGGACAGCTTGAAAGAGGATGAAGAGTCCTTCTGAGGGCAAGGGATGGCTAGTGTCTTCAGTTTGCAGCATGAGCTACCACCGATCGTGGCCATGACGGGGCGCAGCACTCACATACATGGGACAGAGGATGTTCTTGGTGGTTGCCTCATTTATCCTTGGGACTTAGAGAGGTGTGTCTGATTTCCATGGCCCAGTTTTGGAGAGAACACCTTGTTTCCTAAACTCTATGCAATCCCTACACACACACACACACACACACACACACACACCCTTAAATCAACCAGCAAGGATTAGCCAGGGTTTCCTTCACCACATGCGTGTAGGCCTTCTTTAATGAGCCTGAGTAGCTGTCCCAAGCTACCATTATAAGCAGATAGCAGGGCAGAGAAACAGGGAAGGCCTCAATCACTTCCCAAGGTTATCCCAGCTGCCCCTTGCTCAGGGGGTGAGGTACAGAGTTTCTAGATGCTCTGCAGGGAAACCTGTGACGGGACAGTCACATGGGCCTTGTCCATGAGGCCCAGTACACATACCTTTGTCTGCTTAGACTGCGGTAGAGGAGTGGGGTCTGGAGCAATCCTTGTTGGGCACCTGGAGTTGAGGGGTGATGAAGCCCCCAGAAAGCCTTCAGTGGGCTTCTTCCTACCTCTTTCCATATGCACACTTGACCGCAGCAAGACACACAACATCCAGTCTCTTGTGTCCTGGTCTTCAGCCACCACTCCCAGAAACATGGTGTACGCCTCCTCAATCCCATCCCGCCCTTTCCGGCTGGTCAGCAGGTTCTGCTCTTCACAGAGCCACAGGGTGGCAGATGTCTCCATCAGGAGCTTCTCAAAAGTCTTGGAGGGAGGGAGCTCCTTCCTGCCTCCTCCGCCAGGCTCTCCCCTGGCCCCTTAACTGTGGCTCTGGCCCTCCAGTTCCAGCCCTTCCTGGAACTGGGCTGAGTCCAGCTCCCTCGCAAAGCCCCTCAGACCACTCTCCTCTTCTCCCTCTTCTGGCTGGCTGTTCATGGTGCCATAGGTGTGCCGGGCTGGGGAGGAGGCGGGGGTCAGGTTCAACTCCGGCTCCTGTAGCACGGTGGCCACGTACAGCTGCTCGGGATAGATGAGGCAAGGTCATATTGGAAGCAAGGTCTAGAATCCACCCTCTCTCCTCATGCCCCACCCAGTCACCTCTGCCCCTCCAAACCCTAGGCCCTCTCTGCTCCCTTCCCCCTCCGGCCGCCTCATCTTCTCTCTGCCTTGCTCCTTATCAATCAGTGAGCTCTAGAAGATGAAGGTTGTTCGCAACTTTGGAGTTGCTAGAGTTAGTTGAGCGGCAGGCTTCCTAACTCCCAATCTAAGGCTCTGTCTCATACATCTGTCCCCACTCAGGCTGAATCCAGGGGAAGATGGCCTAGCCCCTTCCCCACCCCGTTTATCAGCTAGTAAGTTTTGCTGCAACATGTCACAAATTCGGAACTGAGAACGCTAGCTGGCTCCGGTCACACCGAAGGCTGGTTTCAGGGATGCCAGGAAAGGCAGCAGATTAGGGAGACACAGGAAGTACTAGGGGAAGGGACAACCTGTCACCTCTTGCAGTGGCTTTCAATCTACTCTCTACATTGAAAGTTGGTAACAGTGAGATAGACTGAAACCTTTCCATCGTCCAGTGTAAATATACAGCCCCAGTTGATGAGGGAACAGTCCTATGAAATATCTAGACACACACACAGAGCGCCAAAGCGCACACCATAGACATTTTGGCGATTACCAAAGGGGAAATGGTAGTTGAACATTGGATAAACTGGGCGGCATACCCAGTGCTTTCATTAGCACCACCAACAGGAACGAACAGGATATTACAGATCTCCAAAGCAACACAGTGTGCTCAGGAGTACACTCCAGACCCAGCATTGAACTTGAGCCTCTCAAGCCTCCAGCTTGCAGGGAACGGGGAAGGAAGGGAAAGGTAGGGGCATTCTGTAGGACTGGCTTGGTATTTCCAAGTCCTAATCTAACACAGATACTGACAGGTACACAGGTTATAAAATTGCATGTACAGTAGAATTTCATTTTAGCAAAAACCCATATATACATACAGAAATCTGTATGTATATATAAGCATAAGCTATTTGGAAGAGATACACGTATCCATAGATGCCATGAAGTGCCTCGGTGACCATCCCTGAGTGGTGGGAATAGGAACTTTTTATTTCCTCATTCTTGCTCCTCTGTTTTTCATTCCCACAATTGCCTACCGTGTTTATATACCACTGTCGGAAATATAAAGGATTTTTAAGAGTTTTAAGCTGGGCACGGTAGCACGCGCCTGTGTAGTCCCTGCTACTCTGGAAGCTGATGTGGGAGAGTCACTTGAGCCTGGAGGTCAGAGCCTGGTAGCCCTTTTAGAAATCCTGTCTCAAAAAATAAATACACGCATAAATAAAAAGCTCTATTTGTCCCCTTTTCTTTAAGCATAGCTTTTTATAGTCAGATGGACCTGGTTCAAATGTTTGGCCATGTCCTTGCTCAGAACACTGGGGTCTAAATTAGTGGATCTTGTAGGGTGGGACTGTAGGTTATTAAGGTGTTTACCCAAGATGCATAAGGCCCTGTGCTCAACCAGTCTCCCACACAGCAAAATGGTAATAATTAAGTTTGGGGGATTATAATTCCCCTTAACATGGGAATTAATTAATACAGAGATCAATCAATCAATCAATCAATTAATAAAGGCTTCCATCTCTTACACTTCCCCTTCTAACAGCGAGAGTGCCCCTATTGGCCAGAGAAAGGCGTCTCTGATGGGTTCTTTGTCTCTTCCCTGCCTCCTCTCAGAGACAGTTTGTCACTGGCGGTGACAAACTAGTGTAGGGTTCTATTTCATCTCTGTTTTTTTCCTTTCAAGTGAGGCCCAGCCAGGGTTCCTATACAGCTGGTGCCTGTGCACACAGCCAGGTGGGGCTGCCTGACGTTGTTGGACTCTGACCCAACTCTGCCCACCTCTTAAAACAAACAAACAAACAAAACAAACAAAAACTCTGAGCCCTGCCCAAGCCATACTCTGTATATCCAAGTTGAATGCTGTCATCTGTTCTCCCCACGGTCTCCAGATCAGCTCTTCTGGCTTTTGCCCAGGTTCTTCCTCTTCCTCAATGCTCTTCCCACACCTTGTTTCACCTGGCAACCTCTCCTCCCATTCCTCCAGTTGTATGGAAATGGTCCCTTCCTGGGGAAGCTTCCCCAAGTGCCCAAGCCTGCTGGCACCCTTCTTCAGTGCTTGTTGGCGGCGCCTCGCCTGGAGTATGAAGAACCCCGTGCCCTGCTCTGAATGCACATATATGATTGCATGAGTACATGCGGTAGGGATGAAGGTGAGGGCTCCTGCCATCCAGGCAAGGGCATGGGAGCCTCTGCCCTGTCCACTGGTCCAGCCTCTTGGAAGGCTGGCAGGCTCATCGGTCGGGTGCTGCCCCTGCCTTACCATTCACTGGGTCCGTCAATAGCTCCCTGCAGCTCTGTCTGCACCGCTCTGGCCAACGCCTGTGCCCTGGAGGCAGCCTTGTGTCCTGAGGCCGAGCCCCAGCATTCCCCTGCGTCTATATGGCTGAGGAGTCTGAGATCTGGGTCTCCCTGATCGAGTACGACATCTTTGGCTTTCTCCTCTCTGGGTGACTTCTATTGTACATCATGTAATTGGTGGATCTTCTTGCCCTGCTCTTCAGCCAGGGCCACGGAAGCAATTGGACCTGGGCCAAGTCCTGCGGCGTCAGAAGAGGGGACCCAGGCGTCCCGGCTCCTCCCCAGTACCCAGGGTAGAGGCACTAAACACTGGTGTCCCCCCACATTGTTGGAGTGTGCCACCCCTGTGAGGCCCCACCCTTCTGACTTGTCCCCAGGGTAGAGGCAGAAACTCACGAGGGAGGTTGGTGTGGAGGTCGTACTGCTTGGCTCCACATCAAACACGGTCTCTGTTTCCTCCTCAGGCTGCAGTGGGGAAAAGAAGGGTGGTTTGTTATAGGATGGGGGCTGCCCTTTGACCCCTCCCTACCCTGTATCTACACCTGGGCCTCTAGCTTGCCACCTTTACCCTCAATTTTTTCCTTTCTTTCCTTTTCGGTTGTTTTCAAGACTGGGTTTCTCTGTGTAGCCCTGGCTGTCCTGGAACTCACTCTGTAGACCAGGCTGGCCTCGAACTCACAGAGATCTGCCTGCCTCTGCCTCCTGAGTGCTGAGATTAAAGGTGTGTGCTACCACTACCTGGCTAACTCTTTTTCTTTCTAGACTTCAGACAGGCAGGCAAGGCAGAAGCCCAGAAGAAACAGGGAAAAGATTGGGATGCCAAGAATCCCTTCTGGAATGTGCTGTTCCCAAAACCATAAAGGTCATAGTTGAGTGTGGTTTCCCAGGTGGCCTGCTCTGACTGTGTCTTTGTCTAGGAATTCTTAATCAGTCTCACCTCGGTTCCCTAGCACCCTCCTTCTACAGGGTGGGACAAGTGCAAACAGATCTGGTGACATCACAGGATTAGAGCCTCTTTCTCTCTGTGTGTGTGTGTGTGTGTGTGTGTGTGTGTGTTGGAGGAGAATTCATTATGGTCCTACTCTAGCCTGGTACTCCAGCCAGCAACACTGGTGACTGCCGGTCACCACTTCCAACCAGGTCCCAGATACAGAGAGAGAAAGAAGAAATGCGTCCAGAAGGCTTCCTCCGAAGGCTGCTACGCCTCAAGCCAGTTTTCTTTATATACATCATTTCTACAACAGTTTGCTGCTATAAACAACTAGTTACTGAAAGCAGAGGGTCAACTGGAAAGATTAGCACGTTAATCATGAAGAGCGAAAATTATGTTTCTATCCGTTGGAAATCATTCCAGTGTCCCAGCCTGGATGTTCAACCCTGGGAAACACTCAGCATTGTTGGCAGGCCTCTGAGATGGCATGGACACACTCTTGTCTCCAGGACCTAATGATCAGACTGAGTACCCTTACCAAAAAAGCCAGAACACTCACTAGGGATACCTCTAAACAGACAGCCTCTAGTGCTTCAAAGCCTGGGCTCCATTTACCGCCATCCCCTGTCTCTCTCCACTTCTTCCTCCTTCCCACTCTCCGAACCCTTGCAATGGTGCTCACAGTGGCTGGACCAGACTCATGTGGTGTGACAGACAGGCTAGAAGCAGCCTGTTATTTGGACAAGGTGTTGATGAGGGCCAGGGTCTTTAGATTTCCATCCTGAGCTAGTGCACGTTAGCCCATTGAGCCCACAAACCTTGGCCTAAGGAAAAGGCCCACCCCTCTTGTCCTGTTGTGTTCTGGGTGCCTCCACCAGGCTCTCTCAAAGCTGTGTCCTCAGGACCAGAAGAATCAGTGGTGCGAAGGGCAAGCTGGCAACTTACCTCATACTGACTGGCTACACGGAGCTTCCCCAGAAAAATGCCAGAAAAGGCAATTACAATAGAGATGACGAGGGAAGTCAAGGAGAAGAAAGTGATGGTGTGAAGGGTACCTGCCAGGGAGAACAAAAGGCTGTGGGCATGGAGCTTGAGCACTGGAGTCAGGGTAGACGCAGGGCAGCAGAAGTGCTTTGCAGATGCCTGGGCCCACCTGTCTCAGAACCTGCACTGGACTACTGAGCTGCAGCGGAGAAAGCCCTGCACAACACCCCCTCCAAGCATGGGCAGTGTGAGTGACTTGGTCAGGTCACCCTTCTGTCCCACTTAGCCAGTTTAGAATGTGCCTTACTGTGTATTCTATGGAACATAGAATTTGGATGGATTTAAATTAGCCACACCAATGTCCATTAATCATGTCTGCCTTGGTTGATCAACTACCTGTTTCCATGGTTCCTCAAACGTATCTCTGGGTCACCAGTTCTGCCACTGCCCCCAGACTCTGACCCTCCCTTTCCCCTGCAGGCCCAGTGCTAACGACACCGAAAAGCAACCCAGCATTCAAAAGTCATTAGCTGGGTGCGGTGGTATCCAGTACTCCAGGAGGCAGAGGCGGGAGGATTTCTGTGAGTTTGAGGCCAGCTGGGTCTACAAAGCGAGTCCAGGACAGCTAACAGAGAAACCCTGTCTGGAACCATTCCCACCAACCTCCCCCCCAAAAAAAAACCCACAAAACAAACAAAAAAAAATGTCATTTACATTTACGTTTCACGTGGGAATATTTGATCTCCTTAAAGGCAACAGATTTTTAACAAGGTCAGGATGGAAAATCAGCTCTCCAGTTTCTGGTGGCTGCCGGATGAAGCTTACTGTTACACAGCTGTGCCGTCGCACAGACCTGCAAACGGCTGTAGCAGTAACAGCATCCGGCTGCAGAGGGCTAACAAAAGCTGACGCCTTGAATTTGCCTACCAAAAGGCACGAATGCGTTCAAACAAACCCGTAATAGACGTGAAACCACTCGAAATACGAGCAGATGAAAACCCAGGATATAAGAGAGCAAGTTGTAATGTGGATGGTGGTGATTTTATAAGTAAGAATAAACTAACACACACCCTCACTTTGCTCCCTTCCCCTGAGCAAATGCCTAGCCAGAGTCTGGGAACTCTAGATGGATTATGGATAACAGCTTTTGGTCTTTGTTTTGTTTTGTTTCCCATTTTTGATATTTAGGAAAAGGCATTTAAGGAAAAAAAAAAAAAAGCACTTTGCAAGTAGCAGGGGGGAAAATTCTCACAGACAGGAAATGGATGTTAACAAATAAATGTGCTGTGACTATGATGGAGGGTGTCATTCTCACAGGGGGCAAGGAAATACGCCTCAGGGGATACAGTAAGTTGCCACAGAAGGGAGGGTGGTGGGGTTGGGAACAGCCTAGTGACATGGGTGACCCAGATGGGAGAAAACTGAGGAGCACCCAGTCTGTGGCCCCTGGGGACTTCTGTGAAGGTGCCTCTGGGCTCCTTGCAGCAGGAGAAGCATCTTTGCGTAGCCAAAGGGTGAGGAAAGGCTTGCCACCATTGCAGAAACTGATTCCCTTTTTCTAGGTTCTGGCAAACCCATGAAAGCAGGCATCATCCAGGCTCCCAGAGGAAATGTCATGGGAATAGAGTCCCAAAAACTGCTCTTCTATTTTCTGTCAACCTACATTTAGAATGACGGAATGTGACATTTTACACTCAAAGCCAAATGCACACTGTTTGGACTTTACCTTTGTCTCCAAGCTCTGCCAAGGCTAACACACGCAGTCACTAGATTTGGCCAAGTCCTGTGAGCCATTTCATGCTCACCCCAAGCTTTCCTCTTCTCTCAGCCATGGTCTCAAGGGACTCACAGGGCAGAGGGCAAGGCAGAGGTAGGACCACAGAGCAGGCTGGGCACCCACCTACTCGCAGGATGGAGAAGAAGAGCATCCAGAAGAGCCCCAAGAGCGGTGCGAAAATGGCCTGGTAGACAGCGGCCATGTGGATCTGCTCATTCAGTTTGGTGGGCGCGTAGGAGTAGTACATGTTATAGCGGTCTGTCATGTGCTTCATGCACAGATATAGCAGCCCTGTGGACCGGAAGACACAGCTGCAGTCACTGGCTGCCCTAACCTGGCAGACCTCAGGTGCCCACAGAGCTTAGAGGCCAGACCTTAGCGTGAGCCAAGGGAGACCTAACAGAGATCACTTCTGTTGCCTCTAGAACTGATTCTGCCTGCTTGGTGATGTCATTCACTCACACCTCCGTTCAACCGACCCCCCTTGTTAGCGGCCATCCACACAGTCCTACGGCTTGGCCCTTGTTCCTGCCACCTCCCGGGCCACAGGCTGTCCCAGATCTCCTCATGGGCTGGGAGGTAGCCTGATGCTGTGGAGCTCGGTTCCTCCTCCCATTTCAGGATGTGTCGCTCCGGGGGGAGGGGGAGGTACCTCTTAGACGACTCACCAAAAGGGACAATTATAGGGCAAGTGATGCTGTACGCCATCACCACGCTGAAGACGTTCAACATCCACGCGTATTCTCGCCCAAACTGGAAGTCTGTGGCCTGGTTCTAAGACAGAAGGCAGGGGTCACCCTGAGGTTGCCCCACTCCCTTGTCCTGGCTACTTCTGGGGTTCCTCTAGGGAACTGGCTGGAACGCTCTGTCCTAGCGGCAACATTTCTCCCCACCTTGGAGCCCAAGAATCAGCCACCCATGGTCAGCGGCTTCCATCCTGGGTCCCAGGGGCTCCTGGAAGAGCCCTTCCTCTCCCTCCCAGCAGATGCCGAGGACTGTGCTTACAGAGGGGATGCCCTCACCTTTCTGATGTGGACCCTCTCTGGCTCTGATTTGGAAAAGAAGAGGCGGGTACAGTATGTGCAGAGTGACCCCAGGCGCATCAGCTCCATGCCTGTGCCCAGCAGGGCCGACGTGATCACGTAGTTGACGAAGAATGCGCCGTTGTCCGGAAGGAACACGCACCTGGCCAGCGGGGGAGGGTGGGAGGCAGTGGAAGGACAGAGGAAAGAGAGGTTGGGGCAGGAAAAGAGACAAACAGCAGAGAGAGTAGAGGACAGAAAACAGAGCCATCAACAGCGACTCCGCGTAACGGCATTTTTATCAATTGATAGACCACATGTATATGGTAGTCTGTAGACTGCATGCCCCGGTGAGGTGCAGGCACTCTACTCTGCGAAGGAACACCTAGAGATGTGGCTCTCGTGCACATACATGAATAGAAACACATACACACCAGGAGCCCTATTTAATAAGCAGACATAGATAGACTGCATAAAATCAGGTTTAGAGCGGATCTGTTAGGTGTGTGGCCTCCTAATAGACTCTGAATTCTGAAGACATATGGCCTTAGATGAGAAAAGATGTCATCTTTTCATTTCTTAAAAAAGATTTGGTTGTGTTACTTTAAGTTATGTGTATGTGTCTGTTTGTAAATGTATGTACATAAATGTAGGTGCCCATGGAAGCCAGAGGCGTCAGATCCCCTTGGGGCTGGAGTTCTGGGCGGTTGTGACCAATCTGGAGTGGGTGCTAGGAACCAAGCTCAGTTCCTCTGCAAGGGCAGTGCATGATCTCAGCAGCTATATCTCCAACCCCAACAACGACAGCGTTAGTCTCACTAATCTCTAATTGAAGTTTGCCATTTCTTTCCACAAAGAATGTGAGCAACAAGCCACAGGAACTTTAGCCATCGCTGTGAAATCCCATTGCCATTGTTGCTGACATCTTTTTAAAAATATATATATTTATTTACTTTTATTTTATGCGCATTGGTGTTTAGCCTGCGTGTATGTCTGTGTGAGGGTGACAGCTCTTAGAATTACAGACAGTTGTGAACTGCCAGGTGGGTGCTGGGAATTGAACCCAGGTCCTCTGGAAGAGCACTCAGTGCTCTTAACCACTGAGCCATCTCTCCGGCCTCCTGCTGACATCTTTTTAATGTCACTTATGTAAAATGATGGTAAGTGTTAGAGTAAGAAGTTACAGTGAGTAAAATTCTGTGGTCTCGAAGTGGACTTGGCTAGTTGCCCTCCCCCAGGAGTCATTCAGTGGCTGCTTCCCTGAATGTCTTTAATGTCCAAAATACATGGGTTGCAAAGAACAGTAATATTAAAATAGAGAATCAAAATATTTTAAAGGCCAAGGATATAACTACTCAGTAAAGAGCTTTACTGGGAGAGCACAGGCATCTAAGTTTGATACCTAGCACCCACAAAACAAGGAAAAACAAAAGGTGTAAGACCTGGCTTGCAACCCCAGCTCCCTGGCCATTCAGCCTAGCTTAGCCAGTGATCTCCAGGTCCTAGTGAGAGTCTGCAATGAAGAAAATAAGTGGACCACTCCAGAGGAATACACACACACACACACACACGCATGCATGTTCACACACCCACACAGGCACACAATTTTTTTTTTTTTTTAAAGGGAGACTTAAGCATGTCTGGTATTTCTCAGTGTATCCATCTACACAATTGTGTTAATGCTCTTGTAGGGATAACTATGAGCCTCTGGCCACATTTCATAATTTCTTCAAAAGCTATGAGGAGGGCTGGAACTAGCTCAGTGGTAGAACATTTGCCTAGCAAGCACAAGACCCTAGGTCTCATTCCCATAGGAAACTGAGGCGCGATAATGTTGAGTCTAGTGGGATCTGTGTCTAAAAGCAAAACTCTTCACATTCATTCTTCATGGTTCTGAAGCTGACTCACAAGCTTTGCTTAATTAATAAGTGAACTGTATTGAAGATAGGTGCCTAGCCAAAGAGGAGCCCATTCATCCTAGAAAAGATAACTTTCTATGATTACAAAGCCAGTTTAACTGTAGAAAACTTGGAGGATCCCGGTCCTTGCCTCGGAGAGCAAGCTGTGGAAAGGTGAGTCATTTGCATGTGTCTTTGAAAACTGGAGTTTTCAAATACTGTAACTGTGAAAAATAAAAATCACAACAGGCCAGACTTTCAACATGATACCCAAGTTGTCAGAGATCCTGTTACCCACAATTTTAATGTTCCTGTGACAGTTGTAAATCAGCCCTCACACTGATGTCTGTGAAATAAACAAAAAAAAAAAAAAAGTAACTTTACATTGCTTCTATTTAAGGTGTATTATCTTATTAATGGGTGAATGAAGACTGCCATAAAACCGTAAAACATTTTGATAACTGTATTTGATTTTACTTTGAAATGGTGGGTAGCTGTGTGTTCCTGAGTGTGTGTTTTTACAGGGAAGCACACTGCTCAAGGAGGCCAGAGAAAGACATTGGATCCCTCGGAGCTGGGGATATGGTTTTGAGCCATAATGGGTGCTGGGAATTGAACTCTGGTGCTCTGAAAGAATAGTGTACATTCTTAACTACTGAGCTGTCTCTCTTGCCTCTGGTAACAGTGTAATCCATGTATTTTACACACTTACATACACCACTCAGAGTGGTTGAAAACTGGAGACGACTTGATCAGCTTTGTGGATTTTACCAACAGGAGGTTCCTGGGTCTTATATTACACCATATTCATGCAAGGAAAACTATATGAAGACACATGGGACCTTTTACCCTGTGCACTTTTGTGGCAACCTCTTCTGAAACTACAGTGATTTCAAGAAGAGGTCCCTGGGCTTTGCCAGATTGCCAAAGGGAACCGCAGCACAGGTCAGGGCAAGAGGCTTCTGGGAATGCCTCCACCTGTATCTACCTGCTCCTGGGTGCCATGTATGCAGGATTGGACTGGGGAAGGACACATATACCTGCGCCAGTGCAGACACACGGAAAACCCTGTGTACACCCAAGAGTACTCACTGGAACCTGATGGTGGCATGTTCAAGATAGTAGATGTCAAAGAGCCAGCGTAAAAAGACATCCAAACTAGAATGAAGAACAAAAGCAGACCTTCAGTTACAGTGTCCCGCGTGCTACAGCCTAGGGCTCAATTCCTCTGACTTCCTACTTTCCATTCTCTCTCACTAATCCCCTAGTCCCAGTGACTGCTGGTTGGTCAGACCCTGACCCATTCCTTCTTAATGCCAGGGTCATCTGTGCCCCTCACTCTTGGGCTTCCAGCTCAAGTCCGCTTTCTGCAGCAGATCTTTGCCAGCTAGCTCTCTGAGTGCTCTCTCTCTCTTCTCTTCTCCACCTCGCATTTCCATTGGCTGCATTCTTCCCCCTCAGGCTATCAGTCCACTGACAAGGATGTCTTGTCTTCTGAACTGGGGCAAAGTTCAGGCCTGACCCTTCACAGTTTGGACGATTTCTGGGGCAAGCTATGCCTGTGACAGGCAGGGGACCATCAATTAAGGAGACTTTCAGCAAACATGGGAGGCCTGCAGTATCTGAAAGGGGGTTTCACCTCTAAGCTGAGCGTGGCTGAGACAGGAAGGATAACTGGGGGTGAGGTACCTGGTCAACCCCATGGAGGGCAGAATGACTACCATAAACACCAGGAAGATGTAGCATTTGTGCACCATGATCAGGTTCTGACTCGATCTACAAGGAAATGAAGAGAAACGTGTATTTATCATTGTGTAAGACAGAATAACCATTAAAGATCTGAGGTGGGTGTGGTGGTGCACATCTTTAGTCTTAGCACTGGGGAGGTGGAGGTGGATGATCTCTGTGAGTTCAAGGCTAGCCTAGTCTACAAAGTGAGTTCCAGGACAGCCAGGGCTACACAGAGAAACCCTGTCGATAGATAGATAGATAGATAGATAGATAGATAGATAGATAGATAGATAGATAAGTAGATAGGTAGATAGATAAGAAAGCAAGCAAAGGGAGAGGAAAGAAAGCTGGATGGACAGGGAAACTCTTCTATTGAGTTCCGCCCAACGCCCTTTCCACAGAGCACTGTGAGCTGTGCTCGCTGTATCTGGAAACAGCAGGAATGAACAGTATGATCAACTAGTAATGTCTGTCCTAGGAAGGAGACAGAAGGCACACCATATAGTTGGCATCTCCGTACCAAAAACACATTACCAATGATACTCAAAGCTGGAGAATTTCGACAATCAATATGAGCCTTGTCCTTGGCTACAGGCCAGACCAGCAAGGATTTCTGTTAGGTGGCCCATGGTTTACTGCCTGGTAATATGGCAGAAATTTTGGATGTAGAAAATACTTTTGAGATCCATTGTAGACATTAGCCCAAAGGTCGGCCTTTTACTCAGGATATGCTAATATATTCTACCCAGTTAGGACGGCTATAGAAGTATTAGCATTAATGAACAGAAAAAAAATCTCTTTAGTTTGGAAACATTGGTGCTGTGTGAGCCAACTATGTCCAGATGCATATATCATATTGAATGCCTCGACTCCTGCTATGGCCTTATCTGCCTTCTGAATCTCCAGCATCTATGCACACAGTTCTGTCTTCTCTGGTCAGGCTGGGGGCTGAGGAAGGAGCCTCAGGAGGGCTTGGTTTGGGCCCCCCCTCCCCTTAGATGGTAACCCTGAGCCTCATTTCCAAGGCCAGAGGCCAGGAGACAACCCAGGACACCTGGTCTTTGGGGATAGTTTCAAATATCAAAACCATTACTTTTTTGTCGGTTTTAACCTTTGGCTAGACAGAAGACCCAAGTGTCAGGCAGAAAGGAAGGAAGCAGAGACTAGTGGAGAAAGAGCCAAATAGGGGAAGGAGAGGAGCACCCCCCACGCCAGCTCACCTGGTCCAGTGGGCCTCTAGGAAGGCGGAAAAGTAGACCATCAGAGGCATTATCACCGTGAAGGCCCAGAGCAGTACAGAGGGGAAGAACTGGGTCACGATCGGGCTCTGGAAGGGCAGGGGGAGGAGGAGAAGGGGCTCAGCACAGGAAGCCCCTTCCCCATGGAGGCCGCCCTGGTTCTCCCCTACCCCTGCATCTCCCAGCCCAGTCAAGAGCAACCCTGTACTCCCTGAGGCTACAGAATAGGTCTGAGCTTTCTTAGGTGCCTTCCTAGCCAGAGGTCCACCTAGCTGGAGGAGGCAGAGGCTCATAACCAAAGGTCAAGGAAGTCTGCAAGGGGCATCTTTGCTCAGAGGCAGCCTAAGGTTCCTTTAGTGACTTTTCCCTAAGGCCCGAGCCAGCTGTTGTGACTCACAGTTCCTGACTCAGGACAACAGTGCCTGAGCTCTGATGTGAGTGTGGGGGCAGCATGGGAAGGGTCAGGAAGGAATAATGCCTCGGAGAGCAGTGAGGTAGCCAGTGTGCATATGGCGTCGGCCTCTTATAGATTTTAGACAGGAAGCAAAAGGGGTATGGTCATGTGTGTGTGTGTGTGTGGTGTTTGTGTCTCTGTATTTATGTATGTCTGTATGTGTGTGTGTGTGTATGTACATATGTGTGTGCGCATGCATGTGATTTGCTTGGAATAGAGAAGGGATGCTATGGGTGGAGAAGCTTTCTGGTTCATTAGAACAGCATGAAGGGCTCAGGGTTTGAATAGCTGAGCCAGTGCTTCCTTGAAGCTCCTTTCTAAGTGGAAAGCGTCCTCTAATCTGAGAAGGTGCTTTGACAGGCGTCAGAAGGGGAAGGAAGCAGGAGTAATGCTAAAGGTCCCTTCTGTCCAAAGGCCGTGTTAGGGCTCATCTTTCTCTTCCATACCCTCTTCTCTTAACAGGAATCAAGCAAGCCTGGCGAGAGCAGAGCCATTCGTGTCTGCTGTGTCTTCCAGACCCCCAGCTGGCTTAGCCCACATTCACTGGATCGCTCATTCTCAGTCTCACCCCAGGACCTACCCATAGCTCCTCCCCTCTCCCTTTCCTCTCTAGCCTGTCCCTGAGATGGGCAGCACCCCACATTCATCCTATTTAGAACACAGGACCCTCTGCCCTGCCTATGACACCATGCTGCCCCCGGAGGCCCCCAGGCCTGGCCTGAGCAGATGGGGTACCTGCAAGTTCTCAATGGGACGCGTGACGTTGTACATGTCGATGGTGTTGATGACGATGGCGGGAGTGGTGAGAAAGAAGAAGAGGAAGAAGAGGAAGGTGTTGATCGCGATGAATCGAGTCCACCAGCTGAAACGGCGGATGGACAGGTGTTTCCTGGCAAGGAAGGGAGGAGGGGGGCACACCTAGGTCAGGTCTCAGTCCACACAGTGAGAGAGAGAGCAATACTTTTTCCTATATGCCAGCCGTGGGCCTGGTCTCATGTGCAGTGGTCCCTGGGCTTTCTCCTTGACACCCTTTGTAAAAGCTCAGACCATGTTTCGAAGGTTAGAGAGGCACGGCAGTGAAAACTTTTCCCCCACGGCTGGTTCCCTTCTATGTGTGTGGGTAAGGTGGCCATGGGGTAGGCAGGCACTGTGATGCTCAGAGCCCAGCAGGAGCTCGGTTTGGACAGTTCTGAGTCAAGTCCCCATGGACTCTGTGTTGGGCACTAAAATAGAGAGAGGGGGTCCTGTCCTGTAGCCTTCTTCAATCTCAGAGACAGAGAGGGGGACACAGAGGAGTCTTACCAGATAATGTCTTTGGGGTGAGGGGCATGAGTGACCCTCCAGTGGTGGTTTTTGACGACGGTTGTTACTGAGGACTGCTTGGGGTGAGTGCCACACAGGTTGTACTTATAGTCCTCACAGATGCTGCAGGGATGGAACAAAGAGGAGACATAGGTCTGGAGTAGAAGGGAAGCTTCAGAGTATCGCATAATAGGGTCCTGGGGCCACCACGACAGTCCCACTAGTGGGGACACTTCTTGGGGATTCTCCAAGCCTTCGTGAGGTCTCCCAGGACCTTAGGGATGGACAGATCTTAAAGTACAGTGTCTGGAGGGAAAGTGGCCACTGGAGGCATCTAGACTATTCTAGGAAGAAGAACAGGCCACAGGGTCCTCAGCCCCCGCCCTCCCTTAGCAGCAGTCACATGGGTAGATGAGCTCGTGCTTTGGGGATATAGGAAGGGGATAGCTTCAGCTCATGTCAGCACCAATAATCCCGTGGCTCTAGATCTGTGCTGTGCTGAGGAGAAGAATCTCAGTTGCACAGATTCCTAAATGGAAATGCCTGGTGATTCAACCGGTCAGGGGTACATACTGGCGTGAGAGCCCAGACTTTGACCTTCTACTCACACATTCTCTGAAGGCTCAGATATTTGCCAACTGATGATTTTTGAAAGAATGGACAATCTTGCCTTGTGTAAGGGTATTGGTTTATACAACAAACACTAATAATAAAAATAATAATAATAATAATAATAATAAAATCTCTATGTCCCTTGACAACCCACTGGGTAGAAAAGAGAGCAGATATCAGTAACCAAACCAAACTGGACATATAAGATGTTTGAGAGGCTGAGCGTGGTCATGCCTTTTATCCCAGCACTCAGGAGGCAGAGATAGGCAGATCCCTGAGTTCGAGCCCAGCCCGATCTACAGAGGAAGTTCTGGGATAGCCAGGACTACACAGAGAAACTTTGTACCAAAAAGAAAAGAAAGGTAAGAGAACTAGAAGAGAAAAGAAAGAACAAAAGAGAGTGTGGAAGGAGAGAGAAAAAAAGTAGTTGTTGTTTGAGGGGATGGAGAGATGGCTCAGTGATTAGGAACACTGACTGATCTTCCAGAGGACCTGGGTTCAATTCCCAGCACCCACATGCCTGCTTACACCCCTCTGTAACTTTGGCCCCAGAAGATCTGATACCCTCTTTCTGGCCTTCTTGATCACCACCCACACAAATGGTGTACAGACATACATGGAAGCAAAATACCCATACACATAAAATAATATAAAACAAAATCTTTTTTAAAAAAGAAGTTTGAGGGCTTTAAGTGCCTTGGAAAATTAGGTAGCATTGTTTGTAACTAAAATCTAGGCTATCTACTCTTTTGTAGGGTTGTGCGAAAGAGGGGCAATCCACATAGTACCAATGCGTCATGAGGTTCCCAGAGGGGAGAGGAGGACCCCACCACCCTTTAGAGACCAGTTCTGGAGTTCTAATACATTTAGTTCAGCACTAAAATCCTTCTGAGACATTCTAAAGTGAATGGAATTAATTCCTTGCTGAGAATTGTTGTTAAAGGTTGTTAAAGTCTGCGACAGAAGGAAGAAAGGGAAAGGCCTTCTGGGGAAGCCTACAGAAGAAGGGATGAAGGGACGAAATGGCCTTCTCTCTCTGGGCTTTCCTAATTGTAGTCGGAGGGGGCTGATGTGCAAGGAATGAAGAAAAATGGCCGTCATCCTTGCCAAGAGATCATAGGCTGTGCTGAACATTCCCAGAGAGAGCAGCTGAGGCCCACCAGCCAGGAAACATGGTACAGCCCTGTTAGGAACAGCAACTCTAGAGCTCTCAGAAAGGAGCAAAGAGAGCAGGGTAGAACAAAACAGCTGGAGAGAGGTTAGATCCCCCTATTCCTTAAGCTGGATGAAGGTAAGAAAGTGGCATCTAACCTTGCCCTTAGGCTGAGCTGCATTCCGAGTCTGGACTCTGGTCATCCAGTACCCACCTTTTCACTATCCTGGCATCCTGGAAGGTGACAAACATCAGGTCAAGCCTCTTCAGAGGGACACGATTGAGCTCGGCATTGAATTCGTCGGTCAGCTGCTCCTCCAGCTCACTGTAATACTGCTCTGCATCTACCTGGGGCAAGAGGAGGCCCTCAGAGCAGGAGAGGCCAGGATCAAGGAGACCTGGCTGGACCCCTGGGCTCTCTCATGAAGCAGCCCTTCACCCCGGAACAGCTACACACTGACTCTGCAATTCACCCCTTGCCCTTGAATCTGGGGACACTGAGGCACACTATAGGTTAGTGGATGCTTCAGACCCGGGTGAACTTCAGAAAGACAAAAGAATGTGCAGTTGTGTTGGAGGCTGGAAATACTCTTCTTTTGGTCTGGCTGAAACAGGAGTCCAAGTGCGCAAGACCCCTCTAGCCACGGTGGTCAGGGGACAAGGTGGATTCTGTTTGTTCAACTGTTTCTGCCCCAATGGCTCTGGAAGCCCGAGGCTTGGTCGTGTACTGCAGCCTGCCATGTCCTCTCTGGTCTGTCTAGGACCAGAAGGCAGGCAAGAGCAAATCTTCATGGTTGCCCTAGAGGGGGACCCAAGAAAGCTTTTAACTCCTCTTTCTATCTGCAAAGGATAAAGGGTATAGGTGAGAGGGAGTGGGGAGCTGGGTTCTGGATGACCAGGCTAGACCTGGATGGGCCCTGGGGAAGATTTGAACTCAGGCAAGGGACCACCTGGAGCATAGCTCCCCACCCTTTCCCTGGTCAGTTACCTCCTTGAAGCAAGTCCAGCATTTGCAGAAGCACAGACGGGAGCAGGGGTGAGTCTTGATCATCACCTTCCCGGCCTTCTTAGCCTTGGCCGTGTAGTAGAGTCTGCCCCGCATGGCATGGCGCCTGTCGGTGGTGGGTGACAGCTAGGAAATGTTCTGGTCGGTGACAAACAGAGAGGGCACCATCCTTTCCCTGAACCCCCCCAATCCAGATGCCACCCCTGTGACCTCACCTTTGATCATCCAAGTCAATCAGGTTCCTGACGTCATAGCAGAAATGGACTCTGGTCACCACACACCCAGGATAGGCCTCTCTGAAGTCACAAACATGGATGCTGAACCAGCCTGGTAGGGCTGGGTTGAGCGACTCCGCTCCCTGCTTGGTGTCACAATCCACAGGGATGGGAGGCTCCGCTGTCGGGGGGGGGGGTTTCTCGCCTCTCAGAATGGCATCCATCTTTGCCCCTAAGGCTGAGTTATCTTTGGGGTTCAAACCCTGGTCATCTGAGACTCACCACATCCTTTATTGATCATTCAGAACAGATAATGGACATGCCCCCCAAAACAATAAGGGTCTGGGAAGGAGCTACTTTTGAGAGACAAAGAGTGGAATCTCTGGATCCAGGGACTCGGGGACACTACAGAAGACTGGAGACACTGTATCCAAGACAGGGATGCAGGGTCTCCCCGGGCTGAGCAGCTGAAGCCACCAGAAAGTTAGATGGCCCCTCTTGCCTCTCACCCATGTCTTCCAAGGGCCTCTACAACACTGCTACAACCTTGGCAGTCCTCTCCATTCTGAAAGGCTGATCCTGAGCTGAGGGCAACACCAGGAATGTCCCTAGCCCTAGCATCCTGTGCCAGCACACATTCCTGTGAGAACCCAGCAGGGGATACTGGGGAGGGGGGATGACGTCTGACACAGCCCACCCTCCCACTTACTGGAAGTGCTTGCTGATGATCTCTGGATCCTGGATTTCAGTGGGTACATAGGTGATCATCAGTGTCCTCGTGATCTGGGGTTGGGGGAGAGAAGGCTGTGCTTCCGCGTTTTATGCTAGATAAAGGGATCCTCAGTGGCCCAGAAACCCACTAAGCTGCCTGCTTCTTAGAGCCTCCTTGCTAAGCGAGCTGCTTGCCAACATCCGGTAGCCCCCAGATCAGCAAACCAGGCCTTGGTTATTCTGTGCGCTCCGGCCGGGAACCCCTGCCAGACAGCTGAGGTCAGGAAGGGAGAGCCAGGGTCAAGGGGAAGGACCACACCTTCCGTCCTAGGTCATGTGTGCCCCCTTGCAGCTGGTGCAGCCCCTCAGTGACCTCCAGTCTCCTTGAACCTGCCTACCTTTCTCATGTTGACAGAGAAATCCTAGCATTCTAGGGACCCGGAGCTGGGAGCAAGTGCAATGGTCTCGATCTGGGATGTTCTCTAAAGGCCCAAGTGTTTAAACACCTACCGCCACAGGAAAAAGGTAAGAGACTTTGGGAGGAGGTTGGTGAGCGGTGTTAGGTTGATGGCAATGCGGCCCTCACAGGGCACTGTGACATGTCAACCCCTCCTTTCGTCTCTCTTTGTTTCCCTGCCACCTTGAGGTGCGTAACCTTCCCCTGCCACCTGCTCCTACCACAGGCCCCAAAGCAATGGAGTCCACCGAGTATGGAATAAAATCAAAACAGAGACAACAAACAAAAACAAACAAAAAACTTTCCTCTTAAGCTGATTCCCTCAAGAACATCGTTATGGTAATGGAAAGCTAACACAGCGAGATTGAGAAGATGTCGGGGGGTGTCTTTCCCAGACTTCCTATTTGACTCTGTTGGTGGATAACATCTTCTTGATCTATCAATTTCAAGATGGCAGTCTGATAATCGACTACAAGATATGAGAACCTCGGCATCAGCCTCTGGAAACCACGAGGAAAGTTGAAGCACCTGGGTGTCCCAGCTTCTGGTCCTGGCTGGCTGACGTACTTGGGGTGACTTCAGGGTGTGTGGATCTACACGCTGGGGCAGGCGAAAGTGAATCTGTCATAGATGCAGCAGGCTCGAAGGAGTAAGATCTTGCTCTACTAAATGATGACAGGCTAAGGATGACATCATGGATGCTCATTCCCATGTGTGCCCTTCCGCACAGAGCTCAGAGAACTCAAAGGCCATACCCTTTTCAGGGTGCTGGCCCAAGCAGCTGCCCACTAGTATCCCCTCAGCATTGAGCTCTGCACTCCAGAGGCTATGGTCTACCTGAACATTGAGATTGCCTTGAAGGTATGTGTAGGTTAAGGCATGAAGACTTGGGCATGGGGAGATGGGTTCAATGGACCGAGGAACATTTGCTGCCCAAGAATGAGGACCTGAGTTCAAATTCCTAGTAACCCATGTAAAAAAAGCCAGACGTGCCCAAGTTCTCCTGTAACCTCAGCACTGTGGGGAGTCAGAGACAGGACAATCATGGCGGTGAGGGGGGGCTGGGAAGGGGCTTGCTGGCAGCCAGCCAAGCTCCAGGTTAAACGAGAGACCTTGTCTCAAAGGAATAGGGAGGAGAGTGAGAGAGCAGGACACCTGATGTTCTGGTTTGGACTCCCTGTGAGCGAGTATACATACATGTGAGCATACAAGCACACATCACACACACACACACACACACACACACACACACACACACTTAAAAACAATATAATAAAGAAGAAGAGATAAAAATCCCCAAGTGCAGTCCTCAGCCACGGAGTTGGACAACGGTGAGAATCATTCCCAACTTTCACACCCCCTTGGCTGAGAAAATCCTATGGCACACATTCTAAGGCAGCTCTCAGAGTTCCTAGGGTTACAGGGGTGGAGGACAGCAGGCAGCCAGCCATGAGCAGCTACTTACCAGCCAGTATGAGGGGCTTTCATGGCTTAGCAAGTGGGATACTAGGGCAGGGGAAGTAGAGAGAAGAACATACATGGTAGGGCAAATGGGAGCTTGCTCCTGCTGGGGTCAGGCCCTCCACCCTGTGGCACTTTTGTGAAGCTGGAGGGGGGGGGGCTTTCATACACTCACCTTGAGATTCTTCTTTGGCACAAATCCCAAGCAGTGATGACCCATGAGGGCAAAGTTGATGAGGAAGTACATGAAAGTGAGGAAGCTATGCAGCCACAGGAACCTACTCCTGCCAGGAGAAGGGAACATGCTACTCATATGCGCTACAGGCCTCTGGGAGCCTCACAGCATTGCCGTACCCCTGTCACACCGTCAGTACCCACAGCCAACCCTTCCACCATTACGGTATCCTCAGACTCACCCACCCCCCCAACGGGACTTCCAGTGGACTAAATCCAGGGTTGGACTTAGCTCTTTATTTGTATCTTCTCACCAGACCCTTCAGGGTGATTCCCTAACCAGGCCCCCTCATTTCACCCACAGGGAAAGGAGGACCCGGGCGGTGGCTAACCTGCCTAAGGCCACTGGGAGGGGAGCCACAGTTGCCTCTGTACATGGGGAGCCAGCCCTCACCTCACAGATACCGAGTAGGCTGCGTGAGGAGGTGCTAGGTCATACGCAGAGGGAGGAGGGCCAGGCAGTCCCACTTCCTTGAAGTTGAGGGCTGCTGGCCACTGGGCTCTGTTTCCACCCTTGCCTGCAACTCCTAGGAGGCCATCGCAAGGTTTCTGATCAGAATTACTATTTGGAAGCTTCAATGATATGGCTTGAGGAGGGCAGGCTGAGTCTATTCCTTCTGTCTCAGTGCCTGACCTACCACAGGCCTCTGCCCACCTAAATAGATGCCTGGCCACTCAAATTCTGCATCGGGGCAAGGGCAGGTTCCTTAAGGAACATTTCGGCACTGTGCAGTGTGGAATCGTGTACACAGAAGGCCCTCTGCTGCTCTAAAGCATTCCACTTCTTGGGAAGGGACATGAAGCACCCCAGAATGATTGGCTCATGAGGTGCTGTAGCTACATTCCTGCTGGCAACATTGGGGTGGACAGAGCTGGCTGCTAGAGAAGGGGAGAGGATTCTGTGGCTACATTCTGCTGCTCAGAGAGCTCTAGCATCGCTAGTCTGTTCTGAGGCCTAAGGCAGCGGGGTGGAGGTGAGAGGCCGGTGGGGACGGGGTGAGATAGATACCACTCACACTCCAGGGCTACTGCTTCTGAAGTTTGCTCAGGAAGTTGGCCAAACCATTTAGTGAGCCTCAGCACAGGTAGGCAGGAGAGAGCCGAGCAGGTGTGCTGGCTCCTGGCCTGGGCATGCGAAGGAACTCAGAGGATTGTGTCCTAGGGTGTTTCCCGTGCTTGAGGACTGAATCTGGGCCAAGGCTTTCTCCAGATGCAGAGACAGCAGATGGCAGCAGTGAAGCCTGAACCATCATCTGGTTCCTTTGTCTTGCTGTGGCTACCAGAAGCCCAGATTGGTGGGCTGGTGATTCACCCCATTATTTGAGCTAGAACTCCATGTTGTCAAGGATGCTGCATCTTAAATATACCCCACTCTCACACTGCTCCAGGTGTGCTGGCTAAATTTATGCCAACCTGACACAAGCTGGAGTTATCTAAGAGAAGGGAACCACAATTGAAGAAAGGCCTTCATAAGATACAGCTGTAAGGCATTTTGTTAATTAATGATTGACGGGGAAAGGCCCAGCCTATTGTGGGTGGTGCCACATACTGGGCTGTGATCCTGGGCTTTTTAAGCAAGCAGGCTCGGAAAGCCTTGGGGAGGCAAGCCAGTAAGCAGCACTCCTCCATGGCCTCTGCATCAGCTCCCTGCCTCCTGATTTCTGCCCTGTTTGAGTTCTTGTCCTGACTTCCCTCAGTGATGGACTAAAATGTGGAAGCATATGCCAAATAAACCCTTTCTTCCCCAACTTGCTTTTCTGGGCATGATATTTCAGCACAGCAATGGTCACCCTAACTAAGACATACATTCCTCAGGAATGGCCAAGCATAGGTAGTTCCATTCACGAAAGATGGTGAAACTAAGGCATTGAAAGTCCTGCCCCATCAGGAGAATGCAGCTTCTGGTATCCCACTCATAACCTGGATTCCGCAGAAACCAGGCTTGCCTCGTCAGCACAGAGCTATTCATTGGGCAACAACACATTGGCCCTTCTTTCCCCACCAGTGCCCAACCATTAGAATGGGAGTGGAGATCAGGTACCTACTCTGTGGAGACATTGACAATGGTGGTCCGACCAAAGTGGCTATTCCAGTCTGAAAGAGAGAAGAAAGGGCCAGCCTTGATCCTGGCTTCTATACTGCTGGGGAAAATGGTGGCGAACGAATTCGAGGCTCCTGAACAAATGCCAACGGTCTAGAGACGCTTGCCTACATCTGCTTTTCCTTCTGGTCCCCAGACTTGTCCCCAGCTTCCAGCAAAAGCATCGTCCTCCTGGGTGGTGCTGACTTCCGCTCTCAGATTCGAGACCAAGCATCTGAGGGGAATCCCCAGAGCGTGACTGGCATGTCACGGACACCCAGCACACTAGCTTTGAGGGAACCAGCTGGCAGTGTTGCCACCGTCAGACTGATGGCATTAGCAATGCTGGCCACAGTCCTGACGAGAAGCCTAAACTCCAGAAAATGGGACACTTGTCACATTCAAACCAAAGTAGATCCCTCTGGCCACATGTGTTAATCTGTCTGCTCAGACAGCTCCCGGCTTCACAGAACATCCAAAATTCCTGCCTTGTGCTATCATCACCACATGCTAGGGCTTAGAATGAGAATCTGGAATATTGGGAAAGAAACCCTGCTGCAATCCTGTGCATACTCAAAATGCTACAGTGAATGCATTCAGATCTACGTCTGGCTGAGGAGAAACAGGAAAGACCTGAGAAATGAGGTAAAACTTACTGCTACCTGGACGTGGAAGGAACCACTGGACACCAGCCTTCCCACAGCTTTGTCCCTCCCACAGTTCTAAGACACAGTTGCTATTCTCTGAGCTCCCCCAGAGTATCAGGTACTTGGCATGCCTCTCCCTCCATGACTAAAACAGTGGAAGAAAGAGATTTAGAAGGTGAAATGCTTGGTTAGCTTGGGAGAGGGCATTTTTGTGGGAGTAAATGTGAGCAAAAGCTGAGGGAGCCAGGGTCTTTCTATCTTAGGAGCCAAGCTGCCCTGTTACAATGAGCACGGGCAGCAGTCCTACCAGACAAATTCTGCACGCCCAGAGCTGCATCCTCCAGGGTACACAGGGGGATACGCAGGGGTCAGAAGCCTCTCCAGCAAGTCACACGTCCTCCAATGACACAGGGACATTTATAGACAGTTCTAGGCTGAGCTATGAGCTTGCGGCCTCTCAGGCCCCGCATCAAACAAGGCTGTATCGTCTCCAGTTTGTACATGAGGGACAATTTCGGTATGGTCTGCCCAAGGACACATGACAACTGCCTTCCAGAGAGAGCGCCAAAAGCCAGATTTCTAGACCCTCGGGGTCCAAGCTTTCTCCAGCTTACTAAGCTGTGAGTGGCTCAGGGCCAGCAGCCTGCTGAGCGCTGCTTACCCAGAACAGTTCCAATGTAGTTAATGGGCAAAATGATGCCCAGGGAGGGGATGCAGAGAATGAGGACATAGATGATGAGGTGGTACTGGAACATGATGTAGATGCGTGCATCGTCCCCACACCTGCTGATCAGGTCCTGGTCCCTGCGAGAGACATAAATGAGAGCATTCCTCAGGCGCCGGAGTGGCCACCGCTTGGGGGGGGAGGGGGCAAACATTCCGGGCTTTTGGTGCTGCTGGCAATGGACACAGCAAAAGCACCACTGACAATTCAGGTGTGCCCCTTCAAAAAAGTCCTCTGTTTTTCAGTGCCTTCAACTCAAAGGCAATACCTGAGACACAAGATTAACATTCCACACTGCCCGGCTGGCCCAAAGGAGGAAGTAAAGAGTAGCCAAGTATAGGGGAGGGCAAGGGTGCTGGGCGCTCCCCTCCATGGAAACTGCGTGTACACACTGGCCAGACACACTGGAGAGCAGCTTGCCTCAGCTACTGAGAGCGAGGCACACTCTATGACCTAGCAACTTCACTCCTAGGTGACATCAAGCAAAGATATGACACGCTCATCAAGAGATATGGGTAAGACTCCATAGATGTCAGTGCACAGTGTGTGTTGTGTGTGTGTGTGTGGGGGGGGGTTCTTGTCAGCTATCAAAGTAGGAGGTAGGGGCAGAAGGATTAGGAGTTATGGTTAACCTAAACCACATAGTGAGTTCGAGGCCAGCCTGGGTTACCTTGTCTCAAAAACAAACAGCAAGGGCTGGAGAGATGGCTCAGCAGTTAAGAGCACTGGCTGCTCTTCCAGAGGACCAAGGCTCAATTCCCAGCACTCACAAGGCAGCTCATAACTGTATGTAACTCCATTTCCAGGGGATCTAACACCCTCACTCGAACATACATGGGGGAAAAAGACCACATAAAAATAAATCTTTTTTTTTTAAAGCAAAAGGATAAAAGCAACAGATTCTTGTACAAGAGTTGGAAAATATGAAGGAAAACTTTCTCCTATAATCTCACCAAACCTAAGAAGATTTTTAAGAGACTTTTCCCATTATGTGTATTTCTGCATGCCTTCTGCGAGGTTGTGTCTATACCACATGTGTGCAGGTGGAAGCCAGACGGTGTTGGGTCCTCGTAAGCTAGAGTCTGATGTTGGTGCTGGGAACCAAACCTGAGTCCTCTACCAAAACAGCAGGCACTCTGATGTTTAATTAAGCATTTTGAATAATTTCCCTTTGTTTCTTGTGCAAGTTTTTCTTGGTGTTGGTTGAGGTTTGAAGTTGGTTTATCACCTCAGAAGTTGTTACAGAGTTTGGTGCCCACCATGAGGAATGAAGAACATGGAAACTCAGCTATATTCTTATTGGTGGGGCCTATAGATGAGCAGGTAAGAGTCTTAGGGTGTAAAACCCATGGTAAAAAAGATCACAAGACACACACACAGACACACACACACCCTTGTGGGTAGGTGGGGCATGAACAGCCACACACATGCAAACGTGCTCACAAACATGTGGTCTCCTTGTTAATTTTCCACACCTACCTTCTAGGAAGGCTCATTGGTTACTCACCTTCAAGCATTCTAGTTTGGAGGACGTTCTAGAACATCCAGTGTAGGATTCAGGTTTTTATTTTTCAAACATTGTGGCAAAAAGCACATCTGTGAGGTGTTCAGTATCTCAATTTAGAGACTTATTCAGGGCTCCTGATATTCTTTCTTTGAGTAGTTAACCCATGTCCTTGCCCTAGACTCGAGAACTAAGTCCCAAGAACGGGGTCTTTGAAAATTGAGGAAGAAAGCATTGGAGAACAAGGAACCTGTCTTGCTGCAGGCTTGGGATGCCAGATCTGATCTTGTGAAAGAAAAGCATGTCTGAACTGTGTGTCCAATGGTGGAGAGGGAATACCCAGAGACCCTCCTGACAGAGTGGAGGGCTGGGCAGGAAAAGGCTAACAAGAGTTCCTTCTGGGCTAGGGCTCCTGCCTGCAGCCCAGGGTCCTTCTCTGTACATTTCTTTCTATTACTCCCCAGAATGAGCTCCCATCCCTTTCTCCCTGCACAGTTCATTCTGTCTGCTTTAATTTTGTCCCTTCCTTCCATTTGTCTTGTAGACTTGCAGTTTCTACTGCCCTTCTCTCTTCTGACATTCCTTCCCCTTTACACTCCAGCCAGATTCAAGTGTGTGTAGGTTACTGTAAAACAAACCAAGCGACTCCCTTAAACACTCCGCCATTCTGTTTTCCTCCAGGGTCTCTCTAATATCTCACTTCCCTCCTCTCACCCATCTCTTGGAAAGGAAGCTCTGCACTCTGAACATAGGCTTACCCTGGATGGTTAAGACCCAGATCGGCTAAGGTCGACATCCTTCTCTGAAGGTTGCCAGCCACGCCTGTGTGGACTTGTGTGATCTCATACCCTAGAAGAGGCCGCTTCCTCTTCCTCTCTCAGACAGTCCTCCCTGGGACCTTTGTTGATCCTGCCCTAGGTGACCCATCTGTTCCTGTCACTTCAGCAGCAGTCTCTAAGCGCTCATCTGTCAAGTCTAAATCCTCTGCTCTGAGCCATCTCCTAAGCTTCAGTGCTGTTGTTTCAACAGCTGGCTGCTCATCTCACATGCCATCATTTTACGTTCCCTTTCCCACCTTCTGCTTTCACTATTCTCCACAGAAACAAGACCTCCACATCTTCCCTTAAAACCAGGCCACAGAGAGATGGCTTAGAGGGTAAGATCACTGGCTGCTCTTCCCAGCGCCCACATGGCGGCTCAAAACTGTCTGTAACTCATGCAAGTTGTGCACAGATATACATGCAAACAAAACAACAGACATTCAATAAACGTGTCTTAAAAAAAAACTTAGTGTTTTAAGCTGGGTATGGTGACACATGCCTCTAATCCCAGTACTTGGGAAGCAGAGGCAGGTGGATCTCTATGAGTTGGAGGTCAGCTTGGTCTACATAATGAGTACCACAACATGTAGGGCTATGTAGAGAGAGAACCTGCCTCAGATAGATAGGTAGATAGATAGGTAGATAGGTAGATAGATAGATAGGTAGATAGATAGATAGATAGATAGATAGATAGATAGATAGATAGACAGATTGATAGATTAGAGGCCGATTTGGTGAGGTCTACATAGTGAGTTCCAGAACAGCCATGGCTACATAGCCAAGGCTATGTAGAGAGAGTCTGCCTCTAGATAATTAACTAAAACCAGGCAATGGCCTATTGACTATTGCCCCATGATTCCCTCCCACTATTGCCCTGTCCACTTCTCTAACCCAGGTCAAAGCCACCTCTTACCTGGACCACCAGAATAGTCTCCTTAGCAACTCACCTTGACTATGGACTTTGCCAGCTGCTGTTCACCCCCACATTCCTGCCTGTGGGTCAAATCCCAGCAGTCTCCTTATGGCAGGCACAGTCCCAGTGGATCCCTTGGCACTGTTTTCCACCTTCTCCCTTCACCATGTAGCCCTGCTTCCAGCTATTCCAGAAGAGGCACTGTTTCTGCACTCTCTCTGCTCATCTCTACCCCCGACCTTGCTCACATCCGCCCCTCCATCTGACCTGTCCTCCACAAGTTATTTCTTTTGAGATTTTTTTTATCCTTCAAATCCCAGGTCAGAACCCACACTTGTCCAGAGCCTCCTGGTGGGAATTCCTTCTCTTTTCCTCAAATGCCCCTTTGCATGACCGGTTGCAACCACCCATTATGAAGAATCTATCAGCAAAGCTTGCTGGCCTTTGTCTCTGAGGAGACTGCAAAGGATATTGCACAAAGGGACTCTGGCTTAATAATCTAACAAAGCAAAACCAGAGGAGTGAAGACATCTAAAAGACTGCCCTCTACTGGCCCACAATGCAGCTCAGCATAGAGGAGCTGGCACTTGCCCCACACCAAACAGCTGCTTTACTTCCTGGGGACTGTGGTGAGGGAGGGGGGAGCAGTGGAAGCCAAGGTCATACTGAGCCCCCAGTGGAGGTCACAGTTCCAGGCACAGTTCAGGCTTTTCATGACCGAGCAAGAGTTTCCTGTGCCTTCTGGGATCCCAGATGGGAAAGACAGTGCCCGGTGGCTCCTGAAGGTGCAATTCAGAAAGGCCAAACCAGGAATGGTGGGTGTGGAGACGCATGGAGGCCAGCAGCCTTTGCAGAGGAGAGTAGAATAGCAAGGCCACCCAGGCTGCTAGTACATAGTCCCTGTGATGACTGCTCTTGGTTGTCGATTTGACTACACCTGGAATTAACTAAAACCCAAATGGCTGGGCACAGCGATAAGGAATTTTTTTTCTTAATTAAATCATCTGAAGTGGGAAACCCCACTTCGAATGGTAGAGCTTTGAGGTTGGATATTCCGCCTTTAATCTGGGCCACACCTTCTGCTGGCAGTCTATATAAATGACATGGCACAAGGAAACTCTCTGTTTGCCCGCTTGCTCTTGCTAGCAAGTCTATTCCTTCACTGGCATTAGAGCCTACTTCTTCAGGAGTTCCAGCCTATACTGAAGACCAGCTGAGACGTCCAGCCGTGTGGGTTGAACAACTACTGAATTTTTGGACCTTCCCTTCATAGGTCGCCATTTTTGGATTAGCTGGACCATAGCCTGTCAGCCACATTTTATATATGGAGAGAGTCGCTCTGTAAGTTCTGTTCCTATAGAGAACCCTGATGAATACTGTCTCTAAGGAATGGTGAGGTGGCACCCTGTACAGCAGGTGTCATCTAGCAAGAAAAGACACTGGAGTGGGCACAGGAGATGGATAATTTTCAGAGAGATCCCAGGATTATATATGACTGAGCACAGGCAAGGAAAAGCTGTGCGCACACGCGCGCGCACACACACACACACACACACACACACACACACACACACGTGTGTGTATGCACAAGTGTACATGCCTGTGTGCATACGTGTATTTGCCTGTGTGTATGAGTGTATATGGTTGCAGATATGAGTGTTCATGAGTGTACGTGCCCCTGTGCCTGATTGTACGTCCCTGTATGCATGAGTATGCATATGAGTGTCTGAAGCTCTCAGCACTGACGGTGCAGCCAAGGCTCACTCTAACACATGTCTGTTCAATTGAAGTATCCAACTGGTACCGGAGAAACGAGAGAGAACATGTGTCTTGGGGTCTGGCTCTACAGAAATCCGGGTGAGGTGGGCAAGGACCACAAAGATCCAGGCTCAGAGATGGGACACCTGCCCTTCTGCTCCAGATATTTGATCCTTCTAGACAAATATGATGTGTGGTGATCACAGAAACCAGCCAGTCGGTTTCTGGATCACTTTTCCTGGAGTAGAGCCCACAGGCTTGCTTTTGCACTCATGGGAATAACTATTCCACTTTCACATGGGGTCCTTCCCCGGCGGCTAAGACAGAGGTAGCATGGTCAGAGAGCTGTGCTCAGTTCCCATTCACCAGCTACAGCCTGGAAAAGGGCTCTCTGCCGACCTACACGACGTGAGGCTCGAAGCAGAATAGGGTTCAGCACTCAGGCCTGTTGTCCAGGGAGGGACTGCTGCCCGCCCCTTCATCTCACCTCCCCCATGCACAACACCACCATCCGAATCCCCAACAGCAGCACTTACTTCATGGTTAGGCTGTTGAAGAACCAGGAACAGAAGCCCTGGGGGAAGAGGAGAGAAACTGTGAGGAAAGCCAGCCTGGCTTACTTTGCCTGGCTGTGGGGACCCAGGCAGCAAAGAGTTAAGTGAGGGGTCTCCTTCCACAGAGGGAGCTGTCTCCCTGGAAGTGAGTGGACATCCTTGCCATTCTAATACAGGGAATGGGGCTTGGAAGGAGGGCCAGAGGGACCCCTGGAAAGATGGCTGCTGCTCCTCTGTCTCTTGTTGCTTCCTCCTGAGAAATCCCCATTCCCCCACACCTGTGGTCCAGTGCTGTCCATCAAATATGAGTTTGCCTTCAATGCTCAGTTGGCCCATGGGAAAGTGACCCAAAAGGAGCTAATTAAAATTCTCTTAGGATGGATATGAGTGTTGGGAGATTCTCTCTCCTTCTGTGTGCCTAAGTGCCATGGACTCTGCAGTGTCTTGATGTCACAAGCAGACAGCCTGAGAACAAAGCCAGCTCAGAGGAGAGAGGACCCTATCAGCAATGTTGGACTTCCAGTAGCTAGCTGGGCCTGAAGCAGCTGTTTGTCTGAATTTCCTCAAACTTGAGCCTTAAGTGACCTTTTTGTTGTAAAACCAGTTTGAGCAAGCCTGCATCTCAGTGTCTTGCTGTGGAAGGTGCCTTTCTCTTGGATCTTGCTGTCTGGAGTTTCTAGGTAGCAGGGAAAGGCAGCCTCAGCTTCAGCCTGGGAATGTTGTGGGGAGCCTCAAGAGGGGAGTCAGCTTGGGAAGGCTTTCTAGGAGCATGGACTGGGGCCTGTGGCTCTCAGTTGCCAGGGGTGGTTGTCAGTTAAGTGCCTTTATGTGTTTAATTCTCTCTAGGGTCCCAGAAGGTTTGCAAAAGTTTGGGCAAAGCTGCATCTCTGGACTGGCCCCATTTTGGTTGTGTATATGTCTTTTTCTGTGAACTAGGTGGGCCTACCTGACTGGCAAATCTCTAGAACCACAGGGATTGGAGAAAGGTCTTCCCTAAAAGGAAGTAGCAAGGGCAGGCAAAAGAGTTAATTGTCCCTTGGCACAAGGCCCACCTTCCAAGTTTGGGTATAAAGTGACACCTCCTCCCTCTTAAAGCTCATGTGTTGAAGGTTGGGTCCCAGATGGTGGCACTATGAAGATATGAGAGTGCTAAAATCATTCATGGGTCAGTCCATCGGTGGTCATAGGTGAGGAGAAAATAGGGCAGCGGAGCACATTTTTGAAGAGTGTATCATGTCCCTCTCCTCTCCTTCTCCCCCTCCCCGTCAGAGGAGTCAGCCGAGCATAGACTGAACCCCCCCGAATCTGACTGAGCCTGAAAAAAACCTTTCCCCCTGTAGGTTGTTAAGTTGTGGCTAACACCATGTCCCTGAAACCAACAGCCCTCAGAAAAGTAACTGAAATGCAGCCAGGGAGGAAGACGCCCCCTCTCTTCTTAGCTCACCCCACAGGGGAGGGCCCAGCTGCAGGAGCCCACTCAGCTGAGGAGACTGAGTGCCAGCACTGGCAGAGCATAGGTTTCTCTGACCGCATCCTCCACACCCTCACTACAGAGGGGAAACAAGTGCCTGACTTGCCAGAGCACTCCAGCGGGACCACCTGGCTGAGAGCTGTGCTGCCCTACATGCTAACCTCCCGCACTTGGCCTCCTCCTGCCGTAATGATTTCCCGTCGTAGTCTTTCCTTCTCTCTTCCTCTCTTCCTCTTTCTTTCTTTTTTCTTCTTTCTTTCTTTCTTTCTTTCTTTCTTTCTTTCTTTCTTTCTTTCTTTCTTTCGCTTTTAAGGCAAAGTCTTACTATAGCCCAACCTGGCTTAGAACTTCCTGGGAAATCTAGGCTGATGGCGGGCTTTTTAATTTTTAAGGAAAAAAAATCTTTTTAGCATTGCAAAACATACACACATAGACACAGGGCAATCTGTCTGAAAATAAGCCTGTGTGCCACAATACAAGGCAAGTGTCACCATCTTCCTTTGACCTTGAGCCTCCAAGAGCCAGATGACACCCCTGAGGCTTCATATATTGGATAGGGCATAGCCTGACAAGAGGAGGAGCTGGTCTCTTGAAGGGATGGCCACAGTAGGAATGCGCTCCCAACGCACCACACGCGAAAGATCTGTGTTGTGCTAATTGTTGGGGTGACTGTGGGAAGCAGACACAGGTAAGAGGTCATTCCAAACAGGGTTAGGTATGTTAAAAAAAAAAAAAAGGATGTTTTCTCCATGAGCAGAAAACAGAAGTTATGAACTTCAATTGGTTGGGGTAGGTCAGGGTCATATGCTGAAGGGACTCAGAAAAGGGTTGCTGGAGAAGGAAGGAGGAGGGGAAAAATACATGGAAGGTTCTGGGATGGGAAAGAGCAACTGTGGAGACACAAATGGGATATGGGACAAGGGAGCTAGCTACCAAGCCGTGGAAGAAGGACATCTGCGATGGATTGGAAAAGCAATAGGAAGATACTGAAAGCAGGCATAGGGACAGCAAGGTCTCAGTTCACAGGCATGGCTCTGGCTGCAGACGGAAGATGGATAGAATGGGAACAAGGGAGGACCTCAAGGGATTACTTAGAGCTGCAGAAGTCATCCAGGCGAGAGACTGGTGGAGGCCTGGGCAGGGCTGGTTGGGGAGGAGCAAGATTGGGAAGGTAAAAGCAACACAACTTGGGAAAGGAACAGGCCATGCTCAGGTGCCTGGGTAAGGGCGAGGGGATGGCAAGAAAGGGCTTAGATCAGGGATGGGTGGAGGCTGTCGTGGGATGTTGTAAGCACAGTTCCTGAATGGCATTCATGTGGAGCTGTTTACCAGGTCACTGGAGAAAAGAGACTGGAGGCCTTCAGGACTAGCAGGAAGGAAACGTTTAGTTGGAACTGTAATGATGACAGTTGAGGCTGTGAGAACAGATGCCATGACTCAGAGGAGATAAAGGGAGGGGGCTTGGGGCAATCAGGGAACTATGATAGTGGAGGACTCTGCAAAGGGGTCAGAGGGATAGAAAAACAAAACAAACAAACAAACAAAAACCTCATGGAGCACGTCACAGACGCAACCGATGTACCTGTTGAAGGCAGAAAGATGCTGTCAAGTGTGACACCTTTTTTTTTTTTTTTTTTTTTTTTTTTTTTTTTTGCTATTGTGATATAACATTGTCACCTACAAACGAGTTGGGTCATACCCACAGCTATCCTGAGACACAATGCAGCCTGCAGCCTACAGTTTGGACACGCCTCTCTTTCTGAGAGGCAGGCTAAGATGAGGACTGAGGAGAGACCACTGGGGCTTAGAGGCATGGCAGAGAGCCACGGATAGCCTTGGGGTTCTGGTGGAGGCAGGGGATGATGACACATTTGAGGAGGTTTGGGAGAGGTGAGGAAAAAGACCACCATCTATTCAACTGATGAGGCTGGTGGAGACAGGCATTATGGTGGTCAAGAGGAACACAGACAGACGGTCAACAGGAACATAGGCAGCTGCTTCGCTACCCCCCTTCTCCATCAAATCTCTGCTCAGACGTCACATTCTGCCCAAAGCCATTCCTGACCACTATTCACAGTGCTGCTCCCACCCTTCATTATCACAAGCCTTTCTTGTCCCCTCTTTCCATCACTGTCCTGTATACATCTATCTGTTTGACTCCCAGCCCTGGAAGAAAGTACCATGAGGCACGACTTGATCCACGATGTCTAGTGTCCGTCTCCCTGTCCCAGGGTGGAAGTGGACATACCACAGGTTCTCGTGGAAACTGGCCCAATGGATGGCCAAGGGCAGAATTCCACAAGGAAGACAAAGCAGAACACGGGGCTGTTTGGGGTAGGGCCGGACAGGTGGAGACACCCTTTGGGGTAAAAGGAAGGTAGAATCTAGGGATGGCTAACACTTCCATATTTCTGGTAGGAAAACTGAATCTAGGGAGGCTGAGGAAGCACTTGTTACTGTGTGAGCCATGATGGCCTTCCCCGGGGGCAGAGGTCCCTTGGGGCCCAGACCATTCCCAGCACTTACCTTGTCCCTTCGTTCTACCTCCAAGGAAATCTCTGAGGGAGAAGACTTCTCACTGTGCTCCCCATAGATCAGCGAGGTCAGGCTGCCCACCAGGAAGGGTAGCAGGGAGGTGGAAAAGGAGAGACAGGTCTCAGACACCTGCCCTGCTCCCTCCCTGTCCCCTAGCCGAGGGACAGCAGCTGTCCATTTGCAGAGCTGTGAGCTGCGGGCCTCAGCCTGTAAGCCAGGCTCACAGCTCTGGGTCTAAACAGAACCACCCCTGCTGCCAGGTGCACAAGGAACTTTGAGAGTCCAGCTGTGGGTTTCCAGAAAGTCTAAGACACAAACATAGCTCTATGCCCAAAGATGGCTACCCTCCGCATTCCTGTCCCTTCAGCGAGGTCAGTGCAGGGCCGAAGCCAAGGGACAGGATGCCACTGGCAGATAGGACATTCCTAGCAGCTCTGGCACCAGGCAGTGCCTCCCAAGGGAGCAGGGCGTTCACCATCCTGCCTCCTTTCACCTGTCATTGTGTATTAGTAGAGCCAGGCGCCCATAGTCCCACGCAGCTTTCCGGAGGAAGGAATACAGCACAAGTACAAACTGCAGACCCAAAAAAAAAAAAAGCAAATGGAACAGAAGACTTTGCATACGCCTCCCTCGGCACCAGCCCCCCGCTTTCCCACGGGGGATGCCCTACCCCTGAAGTCTAGAGGGTGGTGCTCCCCAATCGGATGATAGGTTTCTGTCTTGGGAGAAGATGCCCCCTTGAACTGGGCATCTCCTGACAGAGTAAATGGTGGTCAGCTTGTTGAAATGGAGGGGCCGAAGGTGTGTTTAGAGCAATTAAACAAGAATACCCCCATGACAGTGTCAGCAAGGGGACCAAGAAGGAAGGCCCAAAGGCGATGAGCTGGTTTATTTATTTTTTAATGGTATAGACAGAACCCCAGAAATACTATCTGTTCCTCCAACCCCAAAGCCCTCCCACCTGGGCCACCTGGGCCTCCTAGGCCCGACAATCGCTGTGGCTGGTGTCCTTTGGACAACTGAGGTCCCCATCATGCTCCGTGTCGGAGTTGCACAGCTTACCCTGGCCGAGCCCCCCCCCCGCGTGTCTCCCATGGCAACCAAGACTTACCACCCATAAGATGATGTTGAGTACGAGCACAGTGGGGATCCCCCCAAAGGGCTGCCCCTGGAGGACGGTGCTCCGGGACTGGAAACACTCATTCACCGTCATGTTGCGAAACTTTGGGCCCATTCCCTCTGGAGAGGCAGACATCCTGGGCACACTCGGGCCCTCAGGCAGGGTCTCAGTCAGACTCAGGTACCGCTCCCCACTCTGCGAAACACAGAAAGCTTCTGGGCAGTATGAGGGCATGCACTGAGGGCGTCACAGTCAACTAGGCTGGGGGACATGTGAACCCCGAGGTCCAGTGATGGGTTTGGAACTATGACATCCAGAGAGAAGAGCTGGCCCATTCAGAGGTGCCAGCCTTACACCATGAGGTTACAACTATCTAAACCCCATGACTGTGTAGACAGAGTAAGCCCTAAATCCTTGCATGATTCCTCATTCTGTACTGCTTGGTCTAAGAAAGGGAAGCCCTCTAAGGATGCAGAATGCCTAGTACAGGGGATTGACCCAATAAACTCCTTGTCTAATGTTATTTAATGTGTGTGTGTGTGTGTGTGTGTGTGTGTGTGTGTGTGTGTGTGTGTGTG